ACCCTACCCTACCCTACCCTACCCTACCCTACCCTACTCTTCTTATTTCTATTCTATTCTCTCAAGTTCCCTTACTGGATCCTTAATGTGTTCTGATGGGGCCAGTTGGTGGTCATCTAATAGCAAAGGCCATTCCAAGTCAGTCACTGAAGAATCTAGAATTATCTCTCCCTCCCACATGACATTTTAGAAGGCCATGAAGCCACCCAAGGCAGGATTTGGGAAAAACCAAATAACCTTTCACCCCTTTTTGGCAACTGTGCCTCTTTTAATCTAGGTGAGCAACCATGCTCAGGCTTGTGGGTAGGTGGGACAACGTTCCATCCAAGAGAGAGAGAGAGAGAGGGCAAGCAAGAGACACAAGTGAATTTCAAAACGAAAATCTTGCCAACGGCAGCCAAGCTTGGAGAGTTGGCTCCAGGTCTATTTACAGCTTCAGCTGAATGATTTTCACATTTAGGAATATGTGTGTTTGTGTTTGTGTGTGTGTGTGTGTGTGTGTGTGTGTATGTGTATAAAGCGTTTTCACGTTGAGGAACCTACAGTAATTTAGAACCACAGAAATGAGAGAGCCACTGGCATCGGCATTCCCATCCAAACTGTCTTTACGGTTGGGCGCAGTGGGGACTTAAACCGGTTAAAATCATGGGTGTTTGTAACCTAAGAGAGGGTCCTGAAAGCCACGTTTGCTGTTCTAGATCTCTCTTGGGTCTCTTCCTCTCAACCCCCCAGGTGAGATCGTGTGACAGGTGGACGGTTATAAGATTTCGTTCTCTTCGGGCATAGGCTCTACTAAGGGCCTGGTAGCAAGCACGGTGATCACCGCTTCCTCGGGTGAGCAATGAGGATCTTCTGCTAAAAGACCCCTGAACTCCCTTTGTGTTACTACAGCTCTCATCGTTCCTTGGAGGAACCCCATGAGTATGCAGGCAGGCCCTGGGTGGTTCAAATATGGACCGATCACACATCGCTGTGTCTTGAACTAAGAGACGTGAAGCTCCCCCGGCGACTTCGGTAGAACTGGGAGAAACTGGCCGCCCGACTCCTCTTCCTCTTCCTCTCACTCCTACTCCTCTGTTTGTCCCGGTTGATAAAGTTTTCTATCAGCTTCAGTTTCTCGTGCTCTTCCTTCAAAAAGAAATCCACCAGCACGCTCTTCTCCTTCTTGATCTGCTCACTGATGTCCTTGGGGATGTCTGGGATCAGCCAGTCCACCAGCACGCTGAGGAACATGACCAGATTCTGCCAAGGAAGAAGAAGGAGAAGGAGAAGGAGGAAGAGGAGGAGGAGGAGGAAGAGGAGGAGAAGGAGGAGGAGAAGGAGGAGGAGGGGGAGGGGGAGGAAAAAGAGAAGGACGAGGAGAAGAAGGACGAGGAGGAGGGGAAGGAGGGGGAGGAGAGAGCAGAAATGGATCACAATTGGGAGGAGACTGCAGGCTACCAGCTATGGAGACCGAGCAGATCACTAAAAGTTTACTAACTGAATGGCATTGTGTCACAGCTGTGGTGACACAGGAGTTAGAGTGCAGTACTGCAGGCCACTTCTGCTGACTGCTGGCTGCCTGTAATTTGGCAGTTTGAATCTCACCAGGCTCAAGATTGACTCAGCCTTCTGTCCTTCCGACGTCGGTAAAATGAGGACCCAGATTGTTGGGGGCAAGAGGCTGACTCTGTAAACCACTTAGGGCTGTAAAGCACTGTGAAGTGGTATATAAGTCTAAGGGCTATTGCTTTCCCTTTCCTTCCCTTTCCTTCCTTCCTTCCTTCCTTCCTTCCTTCCTTCCTTCATCTTC